TACCTTGAACTAACTCTCTCTACACCTTCGAAACAAACACAACAAGCAGCCCGCTTTAATTCGGTGTAAGGGCTACCATGGCCTTTGAAGACATCGGTGGCACCGACAGGACTTTCTATCGGACCTGCCTGGCAACCTTTTGTTTCTGGCTTCTGGGTAGGGAACCAGACGGCATGAATGCAGAGAACAAAGAAAACTGCGCCAGTGCCTCTGAGCAAAATCAACATGTTTAATGTTGCACCTGGTTTAATATCGGTAGTCTGAATTATGTCAAGTTTCCCCGGCTTAAACACGACCCCCCCACTGTTTCGGTACCATGATTTATGTCAAGTTCGAGCCCCAAAGAATCCCGTTTAAACAAATCTGACTCAAGATTCGCAATATGGGCAACTGATTTCTCCTCTCAGCTCCCTCCAGTCTTAGGCGTGGGTGGGTTAGGAATCTCCAGGTCACATCTTAGCCTCTTGCTTTTAAAAGGGGCTCCAAATCTAAAAGCTTAGCAAGGGACCAGGCCAAGACCTGAGCCTAAGAATTCCTGATTTGATCCCAAGCCCCAACCATCAAAACTCTTTACTTAAATCCATCCAAAAACAAGCCCCAAACAGTCCTGCAAAGGGTTGCCCACAAGGGGGGTTGGTCCTCTTTAAGGGGCACTGTTTGGGTACCATGTTTAATGTCCAGTCTTAGGCGTGGGTGGGCTAGGAATCTCCAGGTCACATCTTAGCCTCTTGCTTTTAAAAGGGGCTCCAAATCTAAAAGCTTAGCAAGGGACCAGGCCAAGACCTGAGCCTAAGAATTCCTGATTTGATCCCAAGCCCCAACCATCAAAATTCTTTACTTAAATCCATCCAAAAACAAGCCCCAAACAGTCCTGCAAAGGGGGTTGCCCACAAGGGGGGTTGGTCCTCTTTAAGGGGCACTGTGTTGGGTACCATGTTTAATGTCCAGTCTTAGGGTGGCAACCCAAAAGGAAGTGCTGGCAATACTAAACCAAGTAGCTGGCAATACTAAACTAAGTAGTGGCAACCCAACAGGAAGTGCTGGCAATACTAAACCAAGTAGTGGCAATCCAAAAGGAAGTGCTGGCAATACTAAACCAAGTAGCTGGCAATACTAAACTAAGTAGTGGCAACCCAACAGGAAGTGCTGGCAATACTAAACCAAGTAGTGGCAATCCAAAAGGAAGTGCTGGCAATACTAAACTAAGTAGTGGCAATACCAAAGCAATACTCAAGTCACCCAAGCCCCCCGCCAAATCCGTATTCAGGATCCCCAGGACTGTTTTGACTGTTTTGGGGGGGGGGAGGGGGGAGGGGGGGGGCCCCACAGTAAACAAGGTCCAACATTACCAGTATCAAGGAGGTTTGCCACAAAATAATTAAACATACAGTTGCGGTGTTGTTTCAACACATACAAGCAGGTTGTAAACCCAGCAACAAAAAAACGAGGGTTGCCGCCAGCGTTGCTATTGGGCAAGTGAACATACAGCCGCGATTTTGACGATGCTCCGGTTCGCGGTGCTGCAAAGGAGCTCCGGAAAAATGATTCACCGGTTCTGCCCAACTCGCCGTCATTTTTCAAACGGGTTTTGTGAGCCCGGCGAACCGCCAGCGTGGGCCCAAGTCAGACAAGCAAGCTGTAGACAGTTCTACAAAATGCACTCTCCAGTGAAGCAAAAACCTCTCACGAGTTTGGTGCCTTTGCTTCCAAGACAAAAACAGCTTGCACAGGCCTGCCCAATTGAAAGCCAAAGCACGACCGCCTGGGAAGGCTAATTACGTAGCACAAAGAGTGAGTTTTGGATGCGCTTGCACTCCCCGAGCCTTTGCACTTTGCAGGAATTCTTTTGGACCTCACGGGTGACTTCGGTCGGCGCCCACTGAAAGATGACGAAAGGACAGCATGCATTCGGGAGCTCTCCGAGCAAATGGGTGGTAGATGAGGTTTCTGACTGTGTGCATGCCAGACTAGGTTATGAGAGGAATAATGACAAACCATTTGTGGTCCAAGCCCTCAACAACAATTCCGTGCAAAACCAGCCCGGTATGGAATGGACAACCTCACTGCTCAATGTCATCCTTCACTTGCGGGCAACTTGCGTTCGTCTCCGGCCTCCCAGTCGGCACCGTTCCACAACTCCAGAATGTCCCGTTTTGCTTCAATGGAACAATGTCTTACTCAGGCTGCATGGGCCTTCCGGAGGCTTTAGGAAAGGTCATCTCTTAGTCAGCACGAAACATTTGGAGGGATCCAGCGTGAGTCACCAATGCCGAGCGATCCAACTCACGCATCAGGCGGCGAGTGTGAAGGGTGCGTCCAAAGCCAACAGAAAGCAGCAACTAATGTGAAACCAACCATTTGGTGGCTAGATCCATGGTGCTGTAGGTGCAGGGGTGCATTCCGGTTTAACTTTCGGCAGGTATGCTAGCAAATACCAACCCTCTCGTCAAAAACAACAACAACTCCTTTGCAGGTCTTGCATCAATGAACTAAGAGCTCCCTCATGCATGACTCTTCATGGGTAATTAAGCTCCTTTGCCCAACGAAGCCTCTGGGTTCGCTCACTCTGCGCTTACTCTCCACACCCCCAAGCCTCTCTAGAATCTTATATAGCAGTTGGATGGGTTTCAGGGGCGTTTCTTCTCCTCACCTCTCTTCACCCGTCCATGTCCTATAGCTTATAAGGAATGAAGGAAGAGCCGGCCAGTATATATGATTTTCCATCTTAACGCTCCCAAATGTAGGAATGGGGCGGATGGAAAGGGAACCTTCAACCGCTCGCACGTGAGCGAGGAAACGGTTGGTCCAAGAGCCACCATTCCTCTTCATTCAAACGTCTAAAAGTGATAGCAAATAATGTCGAAAGGAGTTCTCAAATGGTCTGCACTCTCTCCTCTCTCTCCATCTTTCGCCCAATCAACTATGCAATGCTTGGAATTACTTGGGATTAAGAAAAGATGGCCCATCGGAGAGAATGATGACCAAGAGCCCTTTCACGTTCTCTAGAATGGATTCATGATGAACGGGGGCAAGAGGGGGCGTTCACCCATGAACGTTATCCAAGGGCCCAACACGGCCACCGCAAATGATCAAACCATCTTCCCATCCCCAACTTGGCGCGAGGCGACGTGCCAAATGTGCTCCTTGAAAATCTGAGCCTCAGAGCTGTTGTGGGACAATATGGGCGCAGTCTTTTTCGAGGCTCGTTCTTTTGGGTGCTTCAGGAAGGCCACAAATAAATCACCCAAGTGTTGGGGTTGCTTCATTTAGAAGCAATTCTCAAGCTGAATTTGGTGAGTCGGCATCTACTTGCCAGCATTTGGGGAGGCGGGGCCATTTTGATGAGTGTACCCGACCCAAAACCACAGGATACCTTGCAGTGCTAATAGCGAGCTTGCAACCCTATTGTGGTAGGCTTTCAGCAGGTGCATGTTGAAGGTGCAACATGGCTGCTTCTGCACTTCTGCTGTTTTCCTACGTAGATTTGCCCAAGGCCTTCACGAATGGGTTGTCCACACTGGTAACTTTACACTTGCCTCATCGGGTCTCTGCTCTTGGGGCCCCCCTCTTGGCGTCCATCAGTTAGTTTCTAGAACACCAGGGTTGGGCCAACCCCTTGTTGAAACACGTTTTACTCACTGTCCAACAAATACTCCTGCTTCAACAACTCCTCGCGCAGCCAACACGGGAGTACACTCCGCAAACTAAGACGCAGGCCGTGAACATGCGGCTAGCGGTCTTGCGCTGGCGGTGCCACAGCCTTTCGAACTTCGAGGCTTAGAGCCCCGAACATTACATGAATTCTAGTTGTTGGTGGGACTCAAATGGATTTGGTATTTGGATTTGGTTTGATGGGACTTAAATGGTTTGCTGGCTTTTGGGACTTAAATTTGGATTTGGCACTGATGACTTAATCTCGCATCTAGTGCAGGTTCTTTACACATGGTGCTTCTGCGCCGGGGGGGGGTTGTTGATAAGCCCCAGAAAAGAAAACACCGGTCCCACTGATTACCTTGGTTTGGAGTTCAGTGGGTGGAACATCGAAGTTGGCCGCTTGTAGAACCCCTTCATGCCTCGGGCAGCCAGACTTTCTGGGGCATGCCATGCTCAATGACCTTGTACGCGTCACTTGCTTCATTTCCAGGTCCCGAACCAATGAATTGAAAACACAACAATAAAATGAGTCTTCCTGGCACTTCCACTGGCTTCGGTTTCAGTCCGACCTGAGAAGGAACACTAGTACATTGGTGTGACCAAACACATGCCTCTCTGTCCATAGACTTCTGGAAGTTTCGATAGAGGCTTGGGCAAACCCGCATCACAAGCACGGAACACCAGGTGGTCCCTTTACATCACCCGGCCTAAAAAGAGGCAAGTGTGGGCAACAGGTCTCAACATGCCCAGCTAAGTGGTATCTAGGGATCTGAAGATGCGCATTCACAGATTGGGCGCCTCGCGGTTTGCTTTGAAGAAACTAAATTGGAATGGGTGAACAATTGACCACAAGTCAGTAAACCAATCATGTAAACAGGACAACATAAACAATGGGAATCTTCCCAAGCAAAAATCACCGCGGTTTGTACTGTTTCAGATATTGTTTCTGGTGGGTATGAGCTACCTGAAGTCAGCAGAAACCAGCTGACCCTAAACAGGTGCCAACAAACAGGTTTCCGCTGATGCCAAAGAAAGCTGATGAGTGTAGCATGTTAGAACCAATGTGTTAGAATCCATTTAGGATCACCCAACTGTTGCTGCCAGCTTTTGCTCACAAATAAGTTCCTCGATTGACGCTCGCTCTGCGAGCCGCCGAGAATAGAGGATAGAGGAGTCTGTCGACAAACTCGCCCTTTGAGGGCGAATGCAGCGAATTCAGCTCTGCTTCGCTTGAAACCTAGAGCGAGAAGCCTATAGCAATCATGGCCCGCGGATAACACAGACACACACACACACACACACACATACTAAGTCCGGTGTTTGTCATCTGCTTCATCGTTGGCATTTGTTTCAGCATGTTTCAGCGAAGTCACGCATCGTGCACCGACTTTCCTAAGACAAAGATCTGCCAGCTGGTCATTTTCGTGCTCCGAGGCGCGCTGCCTCAGCGTGAACCCAAGGTGTACACGCAAGACCATCTGGGTGATATGCAATAGTCCGGGCTCCGGCTCTATGAATCTGGGCAGCGGAAGTCTGGGTGAATTCGAATCATTCAACAACCTAGATTCAAGCTGAGACAAAAAAAGGATCCTCAAACTAAGGCCGCAAACCAAAGCTCTTTGCCAGGTTGCAACAGGAGGGCCAACAGGTAAGCCTCACCATATGTTGCAAAACACAAACTCAATCGGGCTGCAACAATGTTTCGGCTGAGCAACACTCGCGGTGAACAACACTCAAGTCTCAATATGGCTTGCTCCTATATCTTGTGGAACAAAGCACAAAGCAAAGCAAGTGCGCGTCTACATGGCCAACATCGAGAAGGTTCATTACGACTCTTTCTTGCCAAGTGTCCATGAAAAAAGGCGACCGTGTGCTGGCTAGTGTTGATCGCAACCTTCCCAACAGGTCGTGTGGAAATGCTCCAAGCGCCATGTCTGAGGTGGGACAAACAAGGACGAGTTTTGCGGAAGCAAACCAGAAGGGGACCGGTTTGTTATTAAAAGGCATCCCCACTTTTGGTATTTCTCTTGAACCCCACCGCCCTGGCTGAAATCCAGTTCGGCAACCAGATGCGCAATGGGCCAAACTACGTATGTGGGACATGGGCGTGGTTCCCTTTAAACAGTGCGGAAAACCCTCATTCGATAGTGGGTCTCCATCCACACCACGAGCCTGAATCGACCAGACTTGGTGCGAAAGCGGCATCTTGTCGGGAAAACCCAAGCACATGCGAGTCCGGACGAGTCCCCTGGTTTAGGCTTTGAGCAAATTTTTGGGGAGAGGCTTTCAACCAAAGCGCTTCCTTGCTGCTCTGCTTCAAGCGCCGCTCCACATTCAGCCTGAAGCCGCAAAGTGCGATCCGCGCTAGGGCGAAAGTCCAACTGGGGCTCACGTAGGAGTTCCCGGAAAACGACAAGTGTGTGTGTGTGTACATATAAGTGACACCGGCAAGAGGTGCTTTACAAGTTTAGCACATCCACTAAACACTAGAGGGACCAAACGAAAACTAGAGGGACCAAATGCTAAACGTGCCCGGCTGCTGGCCGCCTACAGCGCTTGCGCTCCCCAGCCTGAACTTCTCGATGTATCCCTCCGCGCGGTCTCGGAGCATCCGGTGTAGCACCACCTGGCCATCGGATCTTTTTTGGTGGCGTGGCTTGTCCCAGAACCAAACTAATCAAACACTTCCCCTGTTCAGGCCCGGAGAAAAAACTGCTTCACATGCGGGTAAAAAGGCAGGTAAGTACAACAAACATATGTAGGGCACATAAGAATGGGGCACTTCATCGTCCCTCAAGTCTTGCAGCGGCTTCGTCTCCCAATAGGAGTCCAATGAGCGGCGGACAATACTGCTGACGAATGGCTTCTGTAGTAGAATGCACTGCCTGAGACTCCTTTCTCCGGAGGCCCATGATAGGATTCGTTGGCATTGGGGCAATCACTTGACGCACATGCATTGACCATATGTCAAACGTACAGCTTGAAAAGGCTGTGCTGAGAATGTTTATCCAAGCCCTACTGCTTGATATGTCTTGGCCAAAGCGCCACACAACCGGAGCCAGGTCACCAAACTGGGCAATTCTCCAGCATGCCAAACTTCCCTACCAGCCATGGAAAATTGATGCCCCACCACAACCACCGCGCTTGGGGCAAAACCAGACGCTGCAGCTGTCAAGCCCCTGCCTTAAGCGAGCGGAAGTGGAGGCCTTTGCTCAGCTTGTCCTCTTCCTGCCCAGGCCATGTGATAAATGTGTCCTGATTTGCTATGCCGTATCATTTTGCTCACGACCCCGCTTACGAACACCTTGCACAATACCCGTTTTGGACTTGCACGACACATGCCGAGGACTTGCATACGCCACCAGCTTGCGCTACGCTCATGGAGGTTTTGCTTGCGCACAGGTCGACGTGACGCAACTCATATACATGTCCACGAGCCTTTGGAAGTTGCTCCGTTTGGGGCGCTTGTTGCGCGTGCGGCGACGTGCCCAATAGCTAGGCAAACAAACTCACACCTAACCCCCAAAAAGGAGAAATTCTACGGGCCTGAACCCAGGACTGAACCCCTTTCGAGTGCCCATGTACGGGGCACTGTGGCTCAAGGCGGCTTATCGCTGCGGCCATTGTCTGAAATGGACCAAGTTGAGTGAAGCCCCTGAGAAACATGCGTTCGCCCTCAGCTCCGTTGGAGAAAGATCGGTATCAATGGTTCAAATGAAAAATAACGACTCCACTGTCCGTTCATTACTTCTCATTTGGCATTTGCTCGTTTGCGGGGCCCAAAGTCAGCCAAGGGCCAAAGAATATCTGCTGTCTTCCTCAAATGAGACGTCAACGTCACCGTCATCTCCAAAAGATATCTCCTATCTCCAGATCGAAAAATCCCTGTCTCTGGATGAAACATATCAATGTTAGGAAAGCAGTGGAAGAGCCGCTTTCGAAATCGGTGCCAAGGACAGGCTTCCTGATACATGTCCATATCCGTTCACACATTTCTACATATGATACACGCATTTGCCCTCTAATCATCAGCACCCCCTTCTGAAGCAAGTAACTTGGCGAGGGGCAAAGACGATGTCGCTGCGAGTTGCTTGCGGGCAAGCCAGGCAAGACTTGTCGCTTCTGCATCCAAACTCATCTTGGGTGTTACAGTGTAATACTTCTCCTACTCCAAACGTTGCCTTATAGTGTTGTCTTTTATAGTTCCTCCTTCCTGGTTTACAGTGGTAGCAAGGCAAAGGGCACAAACGCAATATAGTAGTGAGATGCCCCTGTTGAAACCCTGGGGCAACTTGGCATTGGAGATATCTTGATGAGCCTCCAGGAGGGATTTGGGGGCTCAAGCAGTTTCAGCACAAGCGACCTCCAGGGTACCGACTTGAAACTGCCCTCTGAACACCTCACAAATTGTCTTTCTTGCACTGTTCTTGAAGAAAAGCTACATGCATATAGAAAGCTCAACAGGAGACTTGCCAGCCGGAAGGATCTATTGCTTTGAGACTAGAAATGGGTTCAAACAAACCTGGCAAGGCCTTCTGAATGTTCAAGGTGTCGTCGTAAAGCCTGCAATTGCCACATGTCAGGGTCTAGCATTTGTCCACCTCCAGACCAACATAATACTTTCAATTTTAGCGTCTGCTGCCTATTCAGCATTCTTTACACGAAAGCGACTCATGCAAACCCATCTCAGTTGTGTGGTTCCTTGAAAAGCCTGAGGAACAGCTAATCAGTCCGTGACAGAGAGCTCGCCTCTCCCCAACTGGGAAAGATACGATTGTTCAAACCAACAAGTGAGGATGTACAAAAACTGTGTTCTTTTTTTCCTGAGCAGTTGGGATTATCCTTTTTTTCACCTCCTTATCGTTTTGCAGCGTTCTGTGCCTTCTGTGCTGTCAACCTCGAAATCGCGGCCTTTTGGTACAAGTGTAGCACACTAAGCACATTTTGGCAGCTCTGCTCGAAACTCTCAAATTTTCAGTGCGGTCCACGAAGTACAGCTTGGCGGTCCCCGCTCAAAAAATGCAACTTTTCAGTACTAGCATAGCACACCAAGTACGCTTCGGTAGCTCCAGCTCAGAACTCGCAATTCTTTGGCCATTGCTCTGAGGAAAAGTGTGGATGTGAGGAAAGGCGTGCTAAAGGCTGTTTCTGCATTCCGCTACTGCTCAGCTACAGCAAGTCAGGCCTGTTTGCTTCCCAACAAGCTGTGCGTTTCCGCCTATCCGCCAACAACAGACGGCGTGTTGGACACAAAAAATGCTCCTTACCTCTTTACAAAGGCACCATTTCAGACTATTGCTGGGGGGGGGGGGGGGTTCCACGTACCACGCGGTGATTCGAAGACGCTTCACTACACGGCTTGCGCAACTCAGTTTGTCAAAAACATTGGGGTGTTCGATTCCCCCCGGGTGCGCTTTCGCATCCTTAGCAGCTCCAGCGGCACATCGCCAGCATCACCTGCATCATCCGCATCAGCGCCTGCCAAGGATGCGGATGATGCAAGTGATGCTGGGGATGTTGCCCATGCTGGTGAAGGAAATGAAGGGGGGAAAGGGGGAAAGGATCTAAAGATCTCAGGGAGGAAAGGGAGAAGATCTGGGGAAAAAAGCCTTAAGGGGGAAAGGGGGGACAAGATCTTTGGGAGGAAAAGGGAAATCTCTCTCGGGGGGAACAGGCCCTAAGGGGCAATCGGGGGACAGGATCTCAATCGGGAAAGGGGGAAAAAGACTTTGGGAAGAGAAGGGTGGAGATCTTGGGGGGAAAAGGCCTTAGGGGGAAACGGGGGAAAGGATCTTAAGCGGGAAAGGGGGGAAAAGATCTTAGGGAGGCAAAGGGAGACGAACTCAGGGAAAAGGACTTAGGGAGGAAAGGGGGGGAAAGATCTTTGGGAGGAAAAGGGAGAAGAACTGAGGGTGGGAAAAGGCCTTAGAAGGAAAAGGGGGGAAATAAATGATCTCAACAAGGAACTGGGGGGGGGGGGAAAGATCTTAGGGAGGAAAGGCAGAAGATCTGGGGCAAAAAGGCCTTAGGGGGGAAAGGGGAGAAATGATCTCAACAGGGAAAGGGGTGGAAAAGATCTTAGGGAGGAAAGGGAGAAGATCTGGGGAAAAAAGGCCAACAGGGAAAGGGGGGAAAAGATCTTAGGAAGGAAAAGCGAGAAGCTCTCAGGGGGGGAAAGGCCTTGGGAGGGAAAGGGGGGAAAGGATCTCAACAGGGAAAGGGTGGGAAAGATCTTAGGGAGGAAAGGGGGGGGGAAGATCTTAGGGAGGAAAGGGAGAAGATCTGGGAGAAAAGGACTTAGGGGGGAAAGCCCAACAGGGAAAGGGGGGAAAAGATTTAGGAAGGAAAAGGGAGAAGCTCTCAGGGGGGGGAAAGGCCTTAGGGGGGAAAGGGGGAAAAGGATCTCAGCAGGGAAAGGGGGGGGGGGGAAAGATCTTAGGGAGGAAAGGGAGAAGATCTGGGGACAAAGGCCTTAGGGGGGAAAGGGGAGAAATGATCTCAACAGGGAAAGGGGTGGAAAAGATCTTAGGGCGGAAAGGGAGAAGATCTGGGAGAAAAAAGGCCAACAGGGAAAGGGGGGAAAGATCTAAGGAAGGAAAAGGGAGAAGCTCTCAGGGGGGGGGAAAGGCCTGAGGGGGGAAAGGGTGGGAAGGATCTCAACAGGGAAAGGGGGGAAACAATCTTAGGAAGGAAAGGGAGAAGATCTGGAAAGGCCTTAAAGGGAAGGGGGGAAAGGATCTCAACAGGGAAAGGGGGCAAAGGATCTTAAGGAGGAATAGGAAGAAGATCTCAGCGGGGGGAAAGGCCGTAGGGGGGAAAGAGGGGAAAGGATCTCAACAGGGAAAGGGGGGGAAAGATCTCAGTGAGGAAAGGGAGAAGGTCCCAGGCAGGGAAAAGGCCTTAGGGGGGAAAGGGGGAAAGGATCTCAACAGGGAAAGGGGGCAAAGGATCTTAGGGAGGAAAAGGGAGAAGATCTGAAAAGGCCTTAGGGGGAAAAGGGGGAAAGGAGCTCAACAGGGAAAGGTGGGAGAAGATCTTAGGGAGGAAAACGGAGAAGATCTCGGGGGAAAAGATCTTGGGGAGGACAAGGGACAAGATCTCAGGGGGGGGAAGGCCTTAGGGGGGAAAGGGGGGAAAGGATCTCAACAGGGAAAGGGGGCAAAGGATCTTAGGGAGGAAAAGGGAGAAGATCTTGGGGGGGGAAAACGCCTTAGGGGGGAAAGGGCGGGAAAGGATCTCAACAAGGAAAGGGGGGAAAAGATCTCAGGGAGGAAAGGGAGAAGATCTGGGGAAAAAATGCCTTAAGGGGGAAAGGGGGGAAAAGATCTTTGGGAGGAAAAGGGAAATCTTTCTCGGGGGGAACAGGCCCTAAGGGGCAATCGGGGGACAGGATCTCAATCGGGAAAGAGAGAAAAAGACTTTGGGAAGAGAAGGGTGGAGATCTTGGGGGGAAAAGGCCTTAGGGGGGAAACGGGGGCAAGGATCTTAAGCGGGAAAGGGGGGAAAAGATCTTAGGGAGGCAAAGGGAGACGAACTCAGGGAAAAGGACTTAGGGAGGAAAGGGGGGGAAAGATCTTTGGGAGGAAAAGGGAGAAGAACTGAGGGTGGGAAAAGGCCTTAGAAGGAAAAGGGGGGAAATAAATGATCTCAACAAGGAACTGGGGGGGGGGGAAAGATCTTAGGGAGGAAAGGCAGAAGATCTGGGGCAAAAAGGCCTTAGGGGGGAAAGGGGAGAAATGATCTCAACAGGGAAAGGGGTGGAAAAGATCTTAGGGAGGAAAGGGAGAAGATCTGGGGAAAAAAGGCCAACAGGGAAAGGGGGGAAAAGATCTTAGGAAGGAAAAGCGAGAAGCTCTCAGGGGGGGAAAGGCCTTGGGAGGGAAAGGGGGGAAAGGATCTCAACAGGGAAAGGGTGGGAAAGATCTTAGGGAGGAAAGGGGGGGGAAGATCTTAGGGAGGAAAGGGAGAAGATCTGGGAGAAAAGGACTTAGGGGGGAAAGCCCAACAGGGAAAGGGGGGAAAAGATTTAGGAAGGAAAAGGGAGAAGCTCTCAGGGGGGGGAAAGGCCTTAGGGGGGAAAGGGGGAAAAGGATCTCAGCAGGGAAAGGGGGGGGGGGAAGATCTTAGGGAGGAAAGGGAGAAGATCTGGGGACAAAGGCCTTAGGGGGGAAAGGGAACAACAGGGAAAGGGGTGGAAAAGATCTTAGGGCGGAAAGGGAGAAGATCTGGGAGAAAAAAGGCCAACAGGGAAAGGGGGGAAAAATCTAAGGAAGGAAAAGGGAAGCTCTCAGGGGGGGGAAAGGCCTGAGGGGGGAAAGGGTGGGAAGGATCTCAACAGGGAAAGGGGGGAAACAATCTTAGGAAGGAAAGGGAGAAGATCTGGAAAGGCCTTAAAGGGAAGGGGGGAAAGGATCTTAAGGAGGAATAGGAAGAAGATCTCAGCGGGGGGAAAGGCCGTAGGGGGGAAAGAGGGGAAAGGATCTCAACAGGGAAAGGGGGGGAAAGATCTCAGTGAGGAAAGGGAGAAGGTCCCAGGCAGGGAAAAGGCCTTAGGGGGGAAAGGGGGAAAGGATCTCAACAGGGAAAGGGGGCAAAGGATCTTAGGGAGGAAAAGGGAGAAGATCTGAAAAGGCCTTAGGGGGAAAAGGGGGAAAGGAGCTCAACAGGGAAAGGTGGGAGAAGATCCTAGGGAGGAAAAGGGAGAAGATCTCGGGGGAAAAGATCTTGGGGAGGACAAGGGAGAAGATCTCAGGGGGGGGAAGGCCTTAGGGGGGAAAGGGGGGAAAGGATCTCAACAGGGAAAGGGGGCAAAGGATCTTAGGGAGGAAAAGGGAGAAGATCTTGGGGGGGAAAACGCCTTAGGGGGGAAAGGGCGGGAAAGGATCTCAACAAGGAAAGGGGGGAAAAGATCTTAGGAAGGAAAAGGGGGAAGATCGCGGGGGGAAAAAAGGCCTTAGGGGGGAAAGGAGGGAAAGGATCTCAACAGGGAGAGGGGGGAAAACATCGTAGGGAGGAAAAGGGAAAAACTCAGAGGGAGAAAGGGCCTTAGGGGGGAAAGGGGGAATGGATCTCAACAGGGAAAAATTGCAAAAGATCTTAGGGAGGAAAAGGGAGAAGATCTCAGGGGGGGAAAGGCCTTAGGGGGGAAAGGGGGGAAAGGATCTGAGCAGGGAAAGGGGGGGAAAGATCTTAGGGAGGAAAGGGAGAAGATCTGGGGGCAAAGGCCTTAGGGGGGAAAGGGGAGAAATGATCTCAACAGGGAAAGGGGTGGAAAAGATCTTAGGGAGGAAAGGGAGAAGATCTGGGGGAAAAAAGGCCAACAGGGACAGGGGGGAAAGATCTAAGGAAGGAGAAGCTCTCAGGGGGGGAAAGGCCTCAGGGGGAAAGGGTGGGAAGGATCTCAACAGGGAAAGGGGGGAAACAATCTTAGGAAGGAAAGGGGGGGGGAAGATCTTAGGGAGGAAAGGGAGAAGATCTGGGAGAAAAGGACTTAGGGGGGAAAGCCTAACAGGGAAAGGGGGGAAAAGATCTTCGGAAGGAAAAGGGAGAAGCTCTCAGGGGGGGGAAAGGCCTTAGGGGGGAAAGGGGGAAAGGGATCTCAGCAGGGAAAGGGGGGGGGGGGAAGATCTTAGGGAGGAAAGGGAGAAGATCTGGGGACAAAGGCCTTAGAGGGGAAAGGGGAGAAATGATCTCAACAGGGAAGGGGTGGAAAAGATCTTAGGGAGGAAAGGGAGAAGGTCTGGGGGAAAAAAGGCCAACAGGGAAAGGGGGGAAAGATTTAAGGAAGGAAAAGGGAGAAGCTCTCAGGGGGGAAAGGCCTTAGGCGGGAAAGGGTGGAAAGGATGGAAAGATCTTAAGGAGGAAAGGGGGGGGAAGATCTTAGGGAGGAAAGTGAGACGATCTGGGAGAAAAGGACTTAGGGGGGAAAGCCTAACAGGGAAAGGGGGGACAAGATCTTCGGAAGGAAAAGGGAGAAGCTCTCAGGGGGGGGAAAGGCCTTAGGGGGGAAAGGGGGAAAGGGATCTCAGCAGGGAAAGGGGGGGGGGGGAAGATCTTAGGGAGGAAAGGGAGAAGATCTGGGGACAAAGGCCTTAGAGGGGAAAGGGGAGAAATGATCTCAACAGGGAAGGGGTGGAAAAGATCTTAGGGAGGAAAGGGAGAAGATCTGGGGGAAAAAAGGCCAACAGGGAAAGGGGGGAAAGATCTAAGGAAGGAAAAGGGAGAAGCTCTCAGGGGGGAAAGGCCTTAGGCGGGAAAGGGTGGGAAGGATCTCAACAGGGAAAGGGGGGGGAAAGATCTCAGTGAGGAAAGGGAGAAGATCCCAGGCAGGGAAAAGGCCTTAGGGGGGAAAGGGGGAAAGGATCTCAACAGGGAAAGGGGGCAAAGGATCTTCGGGAGGAAAAGGGAGAATATCTGAAAAGGCCTTAGGGGGAAAAGGGGGAAAGGAGCTCAACAGGGAAAGGTGGGAGAGGATCCTAAAGAGGAAAAGGGAGAAGGGGGAAAGGATCTCAACCAAGAGAAAAGATCTTGGGGAGGACAAGGGAGAAGATCTCAGGGGTGGAAAGGCCTTAGGGGGGAAAGAGGGGAAAGGACCTCAACAGGGAAAGGGGGCAAAGGATCTTAGAAAGGAAAAGGGAGAAGATCTTGGGGGGGAAAACGCCTTAGGGGGGAAAGGGCGGGAAAGGATCTCAACAAGGAAAGGGGGGAAAAGATCTTAGGAAGGAAAAGGGGGAAGATCGCGGGGGGAAAAAAGGCCTTAGGGGGGAAAGGAGGGAAAGGATCTCAACAGGGAGAGGGGGGAAAACATCGTAGGGAGGAAAAGGGAAAAACTCAGAGGGAGAAAGGGCCTTAGGGGGGAAAGGGGGAATGGATCTCAACAGGGAAAGGTGGCAAAAGATCTTAGGGAGGAAAAGGGAGAAGATGTCAGGGGGGGAAAAGGCCTTAGGGGGGAAAGGGGGGGAAGGATCTGAGCAGGGAAAGGGGGGGAAAGATCTTAGGGAGGAAAGGGAGAAGATCTGGGGGCAAAGGCCGTAGGGGGGAAAGGGGAGAAATGCTCTCAACAGGGAAAGGTGGCAAAAGATCTTAGGGAGGAAAAGGGAGAAGATGTCAGGGGGGGAAAGGCCTGAGGGGGGAAAGGGGGGAAAGGATCTGAGCAGGGAAAGGGGGGGAAAGATCTTAGGGAGGAAAGGGAGAAGATCTGGGGGCAAAGGCCGTAGGGGGGAAAGGGGAGAAATGATCTCAACAGGGAAAGGTGGCAAAAGATCTTAGGGAAAAGATCTTAGGGAGGAAAGGGAGAAGATCTGGGGGAAAAAAGGCCAACAGGGAAAGGGGGGAGATCTAAGGAAGGAAAAGGGAGAAGCTCTCAGGGGGGGGAAAGGCCTGAGGGGGGAAAGGGTGGGAAGGATCTCAACAGGGAAAGGGGGGAAACAATCTTAGGAAGGAAAAGGGAGAAGATCTGGAAAGGCCTTAAAGGGAAGGGGGGAAAGGATCTCAACAGGGAAAGGGGGCAAAGGATCTTAAGGAGGAATAGGGAGAAGATCTCAGCGGGGGGAAAGGCCGTAGGGGGGAAAGGGGGGAAAGGATCTCAACAGGGAAAGGGGGGGAAAGATCTCAGGGAGGAAAGGAAAAAGATCCCAGGGAGGAAAAGGCCGTAGGGGGGAAAGTGGGGGAAAGGGAGGAAAAGGGAGAAGATCTCAGGGGGGAAAAGGCCTTAGGGGGGAAAGGGGGGAAAGGATCTCAACAGGGAGAGGGGTGAAAACATCTTAGGGAGGAAAAGGGAAAAACTCAGAGGGAGAAAAGGCCTTAGGGCGGAAAGGGGGAATGGATCTCAACAAAGAAAGGGGGGCAAAAATCTCAGAGGGGAAGGGGGCAAGGGGACAATTCCAAAGGGACGCAAATAAGAAAGCAGGCCTGTAATGTCGGCGGCCTGAGCCGGAGGCGTTAAAATATAGATCTTCGTTTGGCCAAACGGATGCTTTTCGGCACAACGGGTCATCTTTGGGGAAACGAACGCTTTTTTGGAAGCGAGTGCTTTCTTGGGGCCTCGTGCATAACATATGTGTGAAGTAGCGAGATTCCTGCCAAACAATTAGGCCGCACAACGAGCGCAGTTCCGCAACAAGGGCGAATGTCGAGCAAACGGCCGCAATTTCAAGAAGCACACTGTTTAACTGCCCCTCTTCCTTTGAGTATTGAGGAAAGCGATCACTTTTTGAGCAACTGGCATGGCTTTAACGAAAAACGGACACTTTTGTTTCCGAGAAGATCCAGGCCAGATGACAAGGCTGCTTCACACAATTCCTTCAGTTTTGCAGCAAACCAGGCAGTTTTGGACACAAGGGGCCTCCGAAGACTAAACTCAAAATAACTTAAAATCAACTGGTGGTTTACCTGTATGTCCAATTGATACAGAGAAAACTTAAAAAAAACAATTGCACACTCGCATGATGAGCATTTTTGCTGCCCGATTGGAAATGAACAGCTTGAAGACAGCTTGTCCGGATTTTGCCCCGCGTTTCGAGCGCAATTTGCCGAAACTCAGGTGCAACTCTGCGAAACTGAGCACAATTTCGAAAGTTGCCCAAATTCCAATCGTCACATGGGAGCCAAGTCATTCGCACCCAAATTTGATTGGGGTGAATCGTATGGCAAAAGGATTCAAGCACAAACTGTATCAATGGGCCTCCAGGTATCAACACATCCCAATTCCACTTCTGCCAAGTGACCTTCTCAAAAAGAGAACCTACTAGTGGTATGTAGTCAATTGCTCACGCCAATGTGGGTGCTCCCGAGAATCATAAGGGACTCCCCAAAAGGGCTTGTTCCGTTTGGCCTCCCTTCAAACCATCATCAACCATTCAAAAGGGAGGGTCCTCGTTTGGGACATGCCCATAGCCAAACGGCCTGTCCAGGATGACCATCCTCAGCTCTTTGTGCCACCTGGCGACACGCTGCATGTGGCTCAAAGGCTTCTACCTACAATTGTGTTGTATGATAACCATTTCAAGCACGTGTCCCCAAGACGTACATTCCTAGGTGTGCACTAGTAAATGTTTTGGAAAACCAAGCCGAAACCAGTAACGTACCATCTATGTATGTTCAACCCAACAACCTAAAAGCACCCGGCTCCACTGATGCAATCCGCCAGGAATCCGCACCCGTAATCCGCCAGCATCAGGTCCTCGAAAAACTTCCGGGTAGCCACCCGATCGATGAGCTTCGTCCCCTCAGCTCTCTCAATCGGAGCATCGGCCGAGGCGCCGCCCAAAACGTGCTGCGGGGGTTTTAAGAATTTACGTCGAAATCTGATTTGTTTCCCCAAGTCCCAACCGGTGGCCAAGGAGCCAGAAGGCTTGTGCCGCTCCTATGGCCTTGATAGAAATCCGCAGGATGGTAATGACATTGGCCAACCTCGTTGGAAGTGGTCGTCAGGCCGGTGCTCGGGAGAAAAAAAAAGAAAACAAAAAACAAACGGACTCTCAGACTTCTTGTACAAAGGACACATTGCCAATAGTTGAGGAACCACCCGGTACCGCATTGTGGTTCAGCTTTTATATAATGACAAAGACTTGGGCCTGTAGCGCAAGCCAATCGTGAGTTCTGGATGCTCACTCTCTCAGGTGACATCACGGATTGATGGCTTGCTGGCAATCCGTAGATAACACCCGAGGGTTGCTAATTCTCAAGCTGGGGATGCCTAAAGCTTCAGACCTTCATTGAGTCAAGGACCCTGCTTTCATGCGGAAACTGGATGGACAAGCTCAGTCAACAACTGGTGAATCGGAAGCTTACAAGCCATTTGAAGATGGCAGCCTTCCAAACAATAGGCCGCCAGCTTCCATCATCGGAAACAGAGTGCTTGCCTCTACTGAAGGGGAACAATGTGGTCCGTAAAACAAGAGACAAAGAGAGAGAGCGAGAGAGAGACAAACAGCAAACACTAACAACAAAGAAACAGAACCAACAACAATAGCAACTACTGTAGGGTGTGCTTAGGGTAAGCTTAGGGTGGGCCGAGGCTTGGCTTCGGATTGGTTTAAGATGGGTTAAGCATAGAAAAGCTCAATGTGTGGGCACGCCAAACAAGAAGCCACCTTGAAACAAACGGCCCTCCTTCAGCCTCTAGTCTCGCATCAGTTTCTCCCAAAGAAACGACACGCGAAGGGTAGGGTCATCGCCGAGCTGCGGCCTCTTGCTCGGAGGCCTCCTCCAGGAACAGCTTCTCCATTTGCTCGTCCAGGTCCTTGCCCGCCTCGCGCACGGCTTACGGAGAAGTTTTGGGTGGGGGTCGAGGTCGATGCAGCCGGTTAAACGAACAGTGAAACTCGGGAATCGTTTCTGGTTTGGGTCAGGGGCATTTTCGGTGGGGACGCCAACAAAAATGAACAACTGGGATAAGGATGCTTGGCTCGTGGCCCACAAGGGTCTCGTCTCACTTTTCGTAGTTCTATCTACCCCGAATATCCACTGCCGTTTGAGTGAAAACGCTTGGGACAGTGGGCGATATGCCCAGCTTTGTGCAATCCGGGTGCCTCAAAAGGCACCCACTTTCCCTTCGGCTGACATAGACGCTTATGGCAAAGGGCATGGTAGAGTACAACTGGACAAATGTTGGCTGTGTTTTGTTGCTCCGGTAGTGCATGATCCAGGGACCACTCAAGGTCTCACTTCCCTTCCTGTTGGACCCCCCAACAAATTGCAATTTTCGTTAGAACTCACCAGCCAAATGCGATTTTCACGTGACGGCAGGAGTGTCCCCGCTCAGTCGACGAACCGGGCCTGTCGGAGAGATGGATCCGCACCGGTCGGCTCCTGAGTCATTGGGCCAGTGGAAATACCCGAATGCTTCAAACAAAACCCTTGGGACTCTATTTTGCTAGTCAAAGGGGCTCCTTCTCTGGGTCCATTTATTTCCGAGCTTGCGATTTCTTGCTTGGCAAATTCGAACTTCCCTACTTGACAGGTGCGAGTTCAGCTTCTCCAGGATCTTTGTGTGAGCCATTGACCTTCTGTAACCTGAGGAGACTCGACCATGAAACCTGCAGCCTTTGTCGACTCCAGCTTCTCAAACCAATCCGCTCACTTGCCCAAAAGCGTTGGAACTAGAAGGTTCAGCTTTTAAGATCACAGAGCATGGAGAAAAGCGGTCAGAAGGCTAGATATATCTGAGACTTTGAGGTGAGCTCCGGGGGCCGTAGATCAATTCCAATCTGGTCTTGCTGTCTACGTGGATTAGAGGATTAGCCCGTCTGAACATATATGATCTCCCACAAAACCAAAACAACTACTAGGTCCTCCCGCAGAGAGGTTAGAATAAGGGTACCCTTTTTTCTGCAGTCTATTTTAGTAGGGGAACCCTCCCCCAAAAAAGGGTAAACGGGCACTACTGGGGGACCTAGATTATTAATCTTTCCAAGGAGTACACCGGAGGTATAGGTATAAGGCCATGCAAGTCCCTGCACCTGGGCCCCACCCTTGTCTCCTCCTCCGGCACCTGTCAGTGGGATGTCTCTGCACAAGCTCCACGCTCTCGGAAGCTCCCCTGCTTGATTTTTCTTAAGGGTAACTAAACACTTCAAACCGGGAAGCTTTCCCTTTTGGTAGGTTTCCCTTCAAACACATTACACAATAATCTTTTTCAAACGGGGAAGCTCGCACATTGGGTGGTTTCCCTTCAAAAACTTGCCCCGGAAATGAAGTTGTTCTTGGCACACAGCTGGCCCTCGCGCTTCAATTCTCCCCAAAAAACAGCAGTGCAGCAGGCGTGTCACCTGAGTTGTTCAAGTCCACCCACCCAAAACAGCTCGACGTAGAGGAAACACCTAATGTCCACCTAGGATCAGTAAAGGGGGGGACCCCGCCCCCCCCCCCTAACAATGGGAGCACCTGGAACAGTATCTTGAGATCCAGTTGAGTGTCCATTTGGTTTAGTATTGGTAGACTTGCGTTTCCATTTGATTTAGTATTGCTGGAGCTTCCTTTTGAGATTTGGAACTAAGTTTCCAGTTGATTTAGTATTGCTGGAGCTTCCTTCTGAGATTCCATTTGATTTAGTATTGGTAGACTTGAGTTTTGCTGGAGTTTCGTTTTGAGATTTGGAACTGAGCTTCCATATGACTTAGTATTGAGATTTGGAACAGAGTTTCCATTTGATTTAGTATTGGTTGGGTTTGCATTCTCAATGAAGAATGAAAGCCTTGCCAAGGCCAAAGATCAGACCTCTAAGACAGCTCAAGCAGCAAAGGCAGCTTTTCAACATAACTCTCAGTATTTCACCCACAAAGATTTGAGCCCGGGAGCCAGAGAGGCGGTTTGGAGAGCCAAAGCTGCACTTTTCAGGTGCTCAAAGTGCAGGTACACAGCCTGCCTAGCTTGCTGCCCAGAGAAAGCTTTGAGCTACTGGGTGAGGAAAGAAGCAGGTCATGCGAGCAAGCTGACAAAGATCCAAGAACCAGGTGTCGGCTTGGCTATCTCTCCTCTCCTGTCTCTCTTTATTTCCTTTTAGTTGGTTTTTGTTTGTTTGTTCTTTGGGCGCGGGTGGCGGGTGCTTGTCTTTGTTTGAGGTGCATTTACTATGTTTTGTGGGCCACCCGTTTGTTTTTGTTCCGGGTGCATTTGTTAATCCTAGGAGGACATTACTGGAGACAGAAGAGGCAATTGCCTTTAGCCAGGTCCAGCGTAAATTTGCACCAAGCCAAGAAAACAACATTACCCTTCAGATTGATTCACGGGGAACCCAACAAATCACGTGTAGAAGAATCTCATTTTGGAGAACTTCCTTTTGGTCATAGTGATGATCATCTGACACCAGGCAACATGAACAGCCGTCAGATCTTTCTACCAAAGACCTCGTTATCTATATCTCTCGTTATCTACTCCAAAAGGAACAGTGGCACCCTGAAAGTGGTGGTTTCCTTGGCAAACCAACCTGCAAATCATATTTTGTGAAACTCAACATGTAAAATTGGGCGGTTCTCTTTAAGGGTACGTTGTAGACTCATCATTGGTGGCCCTGTCCCGTGGAGACACACCCAAATGAGTCTTCCATTGCTTTCGCCTTCAACTCGCCTCGAAGCATCCAAACTAAAATTAAGTGCAAGGCAAAAGCTGGAAAAATCTCAAGTCTACAAACAGCCGTTTGCTAAAATCGTGTCAAGACAGTATTGCCACCACTCTGAGAGTGGTCCAAAAACCGACACCCCAAATCTGTGAAAGTGGTAGGGCCAACCCAGAACTGATACGTTCAGTACGACTGTCCGATTCTCTTGTGAATGAACAGCAAAATTACAGTTGGGATGGATGAACTCCTATGAATGCTGCAACAAACCACCTACCAGCTGGTGCGAAGCGGATTTCTTCCATCCGTATTGTCCGTTGTCAAAATCCATATCCACATCTTCGGTGCCCAGTGGAACTGATACCCCAGTCATATTGCCCACTGATTCCATTCACTTCCAAAGAATTGCGGGTGACCAAAACAAAAACAGAAAAACAAAGACACATCCAACCACGGAACATGTCCCCTGCACCTGGGATCCACGTGTCCCCTCAACTTCGGTCGAGTTTTCGGGGCCCTTCGGTCGCCTTGGGCTCTTTCCGCGGCAGCGCCGGCGCCATGGGCACCAGCGGAACCTCGGCTTGAAGCTGTCAGCCAAGCGCTCCAACGGGCCGCAGTTTGCCATCCAAGTCACCCCCTTGGTGGGTTAAGGGAGGTTCAAGGGAAAAGCAAGCCCCATTTTCTGAAGCAACCCATGCAACCTCCAGACACCCTCAAAAGAATGAGTCCAGTCCAAGAAACGAAGAAACGGGCGGGTTGGTTTTCTAGAGGATGGGTCCCGGGTTCGGACACCATCTGAAACGGGCCAGCAATCTTCGTAGAAAACAAACAGATCCCAACCTCCAACTGGGAAAAGCATGACCCCATCTGCATCTTTTCCCGAAGGAAAAAAGGGGAAGGATGTGTGCCTCGGGCCACTTCCATACATTACCTCTTGGGCGAATGAGAAAGGGCCTGTGGCATTTTTCTGTTGCCTCCCCCCCCCCGCGGAGGGACCCAGCGGGCCCATCCTTCACATAGAGAGAACTTCCAGCCGCAAAACCAACAGATACCCCGCCAAAACCGTTCTCCATGTCATTTGAGGCCCCACCATGCTAGTAATTGAGACATTTATACCCTCCCAGCTAAAACATTGCACCTGACATGGAAATGGCTCTCTGCGGAACTTGATCACCTGAGAGGTCCCCTTAAAGGGGTCACCTGGTGGACCGGACATGTGGTACCCCTGACAGCACGTACCCTCCACGTGCCACGTCACGTGCAGTTCAGTTGGCCGACCCCTGGGCACCTGGCCTGGTCTACCGCATCATATGCCTCGCGAAAGGAGTGGCAGCCCAGTGACCCGAATGGAAACGGAAACCTGTTTTCGTGAGTTAGTGATGTTAGTGGGAACCCCCACCTGCCAAGAGAAGGAGAAGGCATTAGGGAAGCCAAAAGGAAGAACGGAGAACATCACTAATGAGCTGTCATGATCTGCACAAGTGTCAGGCAGGTTGTGCGGAAAAGCCATGAGTTTCGAACAAGGGATATATGGTCGATCTTTGTCGAGGTCCCCTTTCCAATGCTGTTGTTTCAGGTGATGCCAGCTTGCCCCCTCCCAGGCGTCTTGAGAGCTTTGAGTATAATCCCGGTGCTGGCCTCCGATTCGCCTCCAACTTGATGCATGGTACCGTACGAGTCTGGAATTATGTGGAATGTTTGTGTACTTGTTTTCAGGATACTTCACAACCCTGGGTATTGTAGCAAACAACTTTGTTTTTGCAGCCCTACTAAAAATGAACAGCAGCAAAACAAAACAAGTCAAACAACTTGCCAAGAACAGTTAATGATACAATACTTCATCGCCGATTCTGGGTGTTGTCCAGATCAATGAGCACGACTGCAGGTTGTTGGGCCGTAAGTAAGGATTCTGGCCGAGGGTCCGATGCGCAAAATCGTCAGGCCAACCACTGTTTTGTCATGCAAATGACTCTTTTGCAAGTCTGCGCGCCATGCAATACATTCCGGCTTGGCAAGCTTTCCCGTGACGAAGGACTTTCTTGAACCTTGCATCTGATTTGAGAACCAATACCTATGCTTTGGTGCATTGAGCCCCAACAATGCGGTGGATGGCTTTAAGCGAGTTTACTCCAACATCAAGAAGCAGCCCTACCATTTGTTCAATCGACCGAACACGCTTGCTTACCGTTTGAGTTTCTATCACTTTTCCTGTTGCAGCCAGGGTGTCAGTCTGGGCTCAGAATTCTGATGGCACATCATTAAGATCAGTGTTCCAGCCCCAAAACAGCCGGGCAACCAGAGATTGACTTTGATATGCCATATGACTATGTAACTCAAACCACCTGAATTCAGGAACCCTAACATACAGGACCTTTTCATGGTTTGCGCTCATTTCGCCAGGCGAGCTTGCGATGGGAATAGTTCTGTTCGGTTTTTGTTTTGGCCCTCTGTGAAACGAGTGTGCCTGGCCTGCTGCCTCTCATCTTCCCAAGTCTTGGCTCCGGCGCCCTCCTCCATCGCAGCGGCGCCTGCCAGCCCACGCCGGTTGCAACGGAAACTCGGAAGTCCACACCGCAACGTGGAAATGGCAAGACCCTCTTTGAGTCGTTGAACTGTCTTTTCACCAGCTTGCTGACAACGAGCAACATTTTTAGTTCAAAACAAAACATCAAACAACATCAAACAACACCAAAAACAAGTAGTACTACCTGGTTGGAGCAGCCATGTTCTGGAAGGATTCAAAATGACAAGACTTCAAGCCATGCTGTTGATGCCATGGACATGGGAAACATGGGTTTCGCGGGAACGTGAGTCACCCCATGTTCTTCACCGATTTACCACAGGAGTTCGTTGACCAATCTTCCCTTGTAGCGGTGGGGTCTGTGGTCCACGACCAGATGATTAGCCCAGCATGAGGGTGTGAACTAATAATAACACAGCCATGAACTCTCTATCGACCCCCTAGCGCTTCTGCCGGCATTTTGCAGAAACCCAGGTGGAATGATAGGAAGGGTCCAACCGGTGATTCCATGTAATCTCTCGAGTACTCGCTTCCACCAGGGCAAGCGCAACTGGCACAATGCTCGTTGTGTTTGATGGAGCGCATCATATCTTGCGACAACTCGGAACACATCGCTCGATCTTTGCGATCTTTGCCAGAATATCAAGCGGCACACCGTGACATCAGGATCCTGCAGGTCGCCCCGCCCGTTTTGCAGGTCTCCCGAGCCTAAGAGGCTGGCGAGCCACTTGGAGATGCAGATCCACTTGGCTTGTGCGCGCTGCAGCTCCTATGAGGCTCACTCGGACCACTGAAGACTAAAGAATCAAACAGATCCCGAAAGTAGTGTGGGCTTGTGAATGCAGTGGAGACATTCCCTGCCCCACACGCATATCAGCATTGTGAAGACTGCCTGGATAGACGTCGTGAGCCTGAGCGGGAGCTATTTACATTGGCTTTGTTCTGCCGGCATCGGCCGACTTCCACCACATCGTCAGGGCTCCCTGGTCAGAGGTGCCCCGTACAGGTTAGTAACTGGCAACTGGCACACCTTCCGCGCTGCGCCATTCCGGGACAGGCGGGCAAGTATTAGGCATGCAGCAATTAACCGAGCCTTGGATGAGCCGCCCTTGACAGCCAGAGAAAAAGACCGGCAACAAAAATCGTACTCGAAAGGGACCCAGCCAGATTCACCTATGCAAAGATGCAGCATTGAGGCAAAAGCAGGCTCTTAGAGCCGGACAGGTTGTCAAAAACATCAGGTCCCCTGGTAATCCAACAAATCCTTGACACTCGTGAACATGAGAAAGATTGCGAATTTGTGATGTCATTCTTGGTCGCCAACCCTGACATGCACAAGCTTGTTGCTCCTGCTTGGACAGAGTCGCAATGACTTCGTCGATCTCCTCAGCAAATGCCATGAAGCTTCAAAAAAGATTAGTGCTCCAGCGAGCATTTGGACCTAACAGGACTCGATCAATCCTGCCAAAGACATGTCTTGAGGCATCCCTTTCGTGGGTCTCCAATGTTGGAGATGTACCTTGCAGTCAAACGGCTTCTGAAATCACCCGCCTCCTCCTCAAACTCATCCACCGTCGCATGCATGCCTGGGTCTCTCTCTCTCTCTCTCTCTCTCTCTCTCTCTCTCTCTCTCTTTGTCTCTCTCTCTCTCTCTCTGTCTACCGCGACACCTATTAATTTTGCCTCAAACCGGTCCAACAAGTTCACTGCCCGACCCTTAAACACCCAGGACACATCAGGACACAGCACTTGAAGGCAGACACCGGTCAAACACCGTCCAATGGGGCCGGCACCCACACCAGCCTGCACCGATGGAGTAGTTGGACCTCACATTTGCCCCCATGTTGGAGGCAGCCAGTGTGCGTTTGTGCATGCAGTGCGTGGTGTGCGCGTGTGTTCGCGTGGATCGTTGTGCCTCTTGCTGCAAATGCGATGGTTCAAAAGGCCAAGATCAGCCTAGACAAGTTCGCCAGTGCTTGAGAGATCCGATCCAAATCCCCTGTCCTTTCAATCCACTTAGTTATTCTTATGCCTTTGACCAGTCCAATAGACTCACTTGGCCCTTCATTTTCAACAAGCGGTTTGAAGGGAACCATTCCACCGGCAAAAGCCTGCCCGCACTGGCACGGTCTCGATTTGGATGCTTGGGCCACGGCCCGCGGGCTTCGAAAGTGCCAGCGCATAGAAGTGAACGCCTCAGATTGCGACAAACAGCACGTTGGCCGCAAACTTTTAGGGCCCAGTTGCCCAGTGACCCGAACGGTAGAAACAGAGGAACTGTTTTAGGGTTGATCTTTTAGGTTGGAAGCCACTGAAACAAAGGGGAAGAAGGGTACCACTGAACAAAATGGGTGGGTGATTCAAACCACCCAAATTAAGGGTTCCCCATAAAGAAGTCTTGATCATGGCTGATGGTGCTAAACATTTGGCGATCTAAAACCAAAACAAAGCTTTTCTTAGGAAGGACCCACTGCAAATCTTACAACACACAGCAAGCATTGTTTTTCATGGTTCACATTCGCATGGATCCTTCCAAACATAGAGGAGTCCCTGCACCTCCGCTGATCGCACGGTATAGTAGGTCTTTAAACCAACCACTCAAAGGACCTTCCAAGCGGGGTGGCTGTGAGTGGTTGGGGATGCGCCCCACATAATTGTCAATATTGATGTCACCTTACATATGCAATGATGTCAATGTCCAAAACACAGGCCCTCCTCTCGTGCGCTTCAAGCCAAGAGGCCATCGATCGTCTTCTCCTGAAGGGCCTATTGCGGCTCCCAGCGACACACCGCATTCCTTGCAGCTAACTCCCCATTTTGAGATTCCAGGAGGGATAATAAAGTGGCAACACCGCTGAGTCCCAAGCCCTTTCCAATCTGCGATTTCTCAACAGGGGCCGTGGATGATTGGCCAAGCCCCCCCCTCATTTTAGTACAGCCAAGGTTTTCAATAGGTCCTGCACGAATGGCTCACATGGACTGTCCTCACGAAGCTTAACTAGCCAATAGCATGGTGCAGTGGCCACTTCAGCGTTGCTTCGACTTGAAGATGTGTTTGACGGTTTGCTCCTGTGAATAGTGAGAGAACCCAGAGAGCAGAAACTCGAACCGAGCTTAAACCACGTGCTAATCCATGCGGCATACCAGTCACGCATGCGCACACACACACAAGACACACACACACACATCACACACACACACACATCACACACACACACACACACGCGCGCGAGCGCACACAAAAGCACGCATGTGCCAACGCGCCCACGTGCCCCCACGCGGCCGCACGCGCGCGCGCACTCAGGCACGCAGGCACGGCAGTTGGGTTTGGCGCATGGGTGGCGGAAAGGTAGTGTGCAAGGCTTGTAATCTGATAATGCAGACCCAAGCTCTGGTCGAGCTCAGACCCTTCTGTTCAATAGAAGGCGGAAAAAGGATTGCCTTCAAGATACTCAGCAAGCTGGCCTTATGTGGTCCCACTAAATATTTGGCTTTCTTACTGGATGCATGGTGGTTGAATTTGGCGCTTTAGTTGGCGACAATGCTACATTGATGCGTGGATTGGTCAATCATCCGGGCAAACATGTCTCATTGGGATGCGGTAGCACAACGCAACCCAAACGGGAATGCCAGTGGAAGCCAATGATTGGACACCAAAAGGTCCATGCGACACAAACAATTTGATTTAATCTGGAGACCGGCATTTCTTGTGAGGCCGACAGCGCCTTGAGGCCAGCTTTCTCGATGATGGCCGTGGTGGAAATCGTGGGCTGCTTGGACTGAGCCTGCGCGTTTGGCTTTCAGATTTCAGCGGGAGTGCAACAAAAGAACTCTTGTCTTAGGAATCTCCTAGACCCCTTCCTGCATTTCATGTCAAGTATCTTTTCAGGCAAGCTAATTTGGAGAGTGACATCTATCTGTTGATGCAAAGTGAACGGCCTACCATGGCCCGGCGGCTTATACCGGTCTGCATAGGGTTTCATCCATCCCAACAGGCGCATGATGATGATGATGATGATGATGATGATGATGATGATGATGATGATGATGATGATGATGATGATGATGATGATGATGATGATGATGATGGGGATGGGGATGGGGATGGGGATGATGATGATGATGATGATGATGATGATGATGATGATGATGATGATGATGATGATGATGGGGATGGGCATGGGGATGATGGGAATGGGGATGGGGATGATGGTGATCGTGATTTTGTCCATCCACAGTATGGAGGTCTTGCTCCGACAATCCACGCCTGCCACGACGACCTCGCTGTGGCAGCTGTTTGAAGGGGGAGCCAGGCAAGCTTGAATTGGCCAGTGGCCATGGGGCCCAAAGAGGACCCTCTTTTAGGTTCGGAAGCAAGTTTCAAGTGGGAACTGCCTAGGACACAAGTGGAAGCGAAAGCCTGGTTTTCCTCAGAAGACTACAGTACCGACATCTCTTGGGGTACTGGAACTTAGTATCGAGTCAACAAAAATAGCGGCGAACGAGTGATGACACGCACCTCATATTCTCCTGGGACATGCTTCCAGTTCCCACTATAGGTTACCTCCAGGTTCTTACCTCCAGGTTCTACATGCTTCCCTCACCTGTGGCGAAACGACTGACAGCACTGGATGTGGGCTCTCTCAAGTCGCGCCTTCCGAGGGCTCCCGTTCTTTTTCTTCTTGTTCTTGGAGGCTTTCGCCTGGCCGAAAAAGAGATGCGGATTGGTTCTGTGACCGTTCAATAGGGGCTCTGCAAAAGAAAGCAAACGACCACATGCCGCTTGGTCTCCTTTTGGCAAGAACTCAGATTGAGGGTGTCTTAGCACCAAGTTCCAATTAATGCCATGATGGGACAGCTTGGGGAAGATAGAGGTGATGCATGCAGCATGTTTCTTTACAAGTACAACATAAAGTTGAGGACACTTCAACTATCCTCTGGGTGTTGTCCCCGCTCTTAAGCCCTCACAAGGTCTCAACAGAGGTCTGTAACGAGGTCTGTAACGAATGTCCGCCGCGGCTCTGTTACAGACCCCTCAAAAAAAATAACTGCCATATGTCGGCATAGGTCAGAACGCAGTGAGATCGCTCCAAACCCAGCCAGCCAGCCATACTGCAAGCCATACTGCAAGCCATACGGCAGACCATAGTGACAGAAGAAGAGAACACGTCAGCTGCGGGAAACGTCTGCGACACATTAGGGTGCTGAAAAATCCATTGGAACTCTGGCTTGTCCACTGGGAGACCGCGCCAAAGCCAAATCCTGCTCTTTGAGCCAACGCGTCTGCCACTCCGGATTCCGCCGAGGTAGCATGACATACTTCTGGACCCCGCAAAGGGCAGCACAAAATGCCATCAGTTCCAAACGTAGCTCGATGTTCAACCCCCCCCCCCATTTGGGTGTGTCTCTTTTGGATGACTCTTTGTTGGGTTGGCGTTAACGAGAAACCACCAGGAACAGAGTTGGGGTTCGCCGAAACGCCCTCCCCGCCTTTTCCTCTGGCTCCGGCTTGCTGCTGCAGAACTTCAGCAGTTGCTGGATGTTCACAGTGCCTCCACTCGCAGCGAAGGGCCAGAATCGCGCCAAGCCCATGTTTGGAGGGCCAACCTCCGTTTGGTTCCCCAATCCAGGGGAAGGGTCCCGTTTCAACAAGCTTGGCCCAACCCTAGTGCCCGAAAACCAAGGGAAGAGTTACTAGTACCTGACAGCGCAGCAAAGTCCTCAGTTCCTGTGCGACTTAGCCCAAGTCCAACTGGCAGAGTCCAGACACTTGGGGATCGAAGTCGATCCTGTGAGTTACGTGACACTTAGATCAGGTTCCCCCGAAAAAGAAAAATGAGTTGGGCCTCGCTTTGGATTATCCAACTAAGGCGCATGCCAGGCCAAAAGGGGGGTCGGGGGGCGTGACGTCTTGCCGGGGCTTATTGGAGAGTGGGAACTCGAGGACAAATTGATTCCGGATAGACGTAGGATATAGTACCTCCGGGGGGATAGGCCAATTGAAGTTCATGCGACCTATTTACTCATGTCCTGAACCTGCTATGAGTTGTGTTTCAAGCATCATCGGCTCAAAACGCACTTCAGCATGGGCAACACGCCGTGCAGTTTGCTGTGCGCCCCGGCCATCGTGGTCCTGATCCTGAGCGATGCCAAAAGACTGCCGACAGTCAAACACAACCACCTTAGGTAACCACCGTCCTCATGAAGCTTACAAAAGGCTTAAGTCCTATCTCTTTGCAAGTAAAACACATACGCGACCGATAAATTTTGACCATACCCTAGTGCACCAACTCAATCACACTCCATCCCGTTTCACCATAGAGGTGGCTTACCCTGCCCTCCACCCGACTACTCAAACTTCCTGGAATGCCCATATATGCTGCGTACACAGCTGGACTGGTTCGCCACCTCTCAAACACTCCGCAATGGAAGTGCACCTTTGCCACAGAAAGTGCTCGCAAGCAGACATCCTCAATAGGTCCTCCAGTATATAGTATGGTTGGAATACGGGTACCCAATTATTTTTCTGTAGTCTAGTTTAGTGAACCCCTTCCCCCAAAAAGGGTGAAAGGGGACTACTGGGGGACCTAGATACCCTCGCGCTGAGAAAGCGGCCACCGCCCTGAAGATCTGACTCTCGTCCAGCCCGCATATTACCTGCCATATTTGGGAGGGGGGTCCGGGGCGCTCGGGCTTTTGCTACCCAAAATCGGATGTGTTAGATTTCTGGTGCTTTCAGTTGGGGCTGAAATGAAACGATTTGCTTAGTCTGTGATTCTAGCTGATGCTTGCAATATATGTTAAGCAAATTTTACCATGTAAAGCGAACCAAGCGGTTGTCATCCCCACAACGACAATCATTACAACAGGTTTATCTTGCGAGTTACTCGGGGTGGGGAGTCAGCTGCAAGCTGTCGACCATCTAAGCGAACAGTCATGTGGAGGTCTGTCTAGAGAACACAAGCAAATAACAAGATCAACATCAAGGAAAACAAACAAGGTCTTTGGGTGTGATACGGGGTAGGCGCTTTTTGGTTGGGGTATCTGGGATCATTGGGGATTGCTTAAGACTGTTTGCTGCTTGAGGTTGTGCGGGGATATGCGGGGATATATCTAAGGAGGAGGAGGATGAGCGGGGAGGAAGGACTCCAACTGGATGAGAAAAAAGGTTGTCCTAGGCGCGGCCCCTCCGCCAAATCAAAGCCCACATCTCGAGGTGCCCTTTTGGGAGCTGAATCCTGGCTCTGAAGAGAGCCAATGACTTGAAGAGGAAGCAAGTACACCTTAACACCCATCTCAGGTACTCAGCTGCTTTTACAGACTAGCCAGAAGGTTGGAGCCATTGAAAGCGCAGTCTGGGCAGTTGTCAGGATTGCATCCTGAGATTTCTCATTTGGGACAGGATCAAACATCCCTTCACAAAACGAGTACCCCTTTTGAGTGGGGTAGAACATTCGCAGAAGGAACCCTGCGTTGCCTTGTCGGAAGCCCAAACAAACTCGGCCGGACGAACCGCGCCTGCAGATCCAGACCTATGAGGCTCATCGCCATCCTGAAAACGCAGGCCACGGCTCAACGCATTCACTCATAGGAGGTCAACTACACATCACCACATGAATTTGTGCATGGGTGCATCCTTGTATATCTGCTTCTCAGGCATGCCTGTTTGCAGGAATGCATGTGTGGATACATGTTCACACATAGACATGTACATATAACCGTGTATATATATATATATAGCTATATAAATGCATATGCGCGCACACACACACACACAACTTTATATACATATCATGCACATACACATAGGCACACACACACACCAAACCAACAAGCAAGCAATATGTGATGTTATTTTTCTTCTAATATGACCAGTCATGAAACTTGCCAGCGGACATCGGCCAGGAACATATACAATCAACCGAAAAGACTGGAAGAACACAGCCTCAGGACGGCATTTGTGGTTTCGGTGCAGGCCGGCTGTTACTCCCCCCCCAAGTTCTCGCCCGAGTTCCCAGCGAGAACTCGGTGATGCTGAAGATGCCGCTCCGGTTCATATCCAGAACTTTCTGGACCTGGCGACTGCTCGGATGTTCAACTTATTCATTCGGAGCTTGCAAGCGGGGGTTACTGGGATAACTGGCCCCTGACATATAACAATAATTTTATTTAACATCCAAGTGCCCTGGAGAGACAGGAGGGACATCTTGTGGCAGCGCCACCATGTCACCGAGAAAAGAGATGGCTGAGAAAACGTGGACTTCGCTGGCCAACTCGATTCTCAAATGCACAATTCTAAGCGGCGCTTCCCACAAGTAGGCATTGAGGGTTGTGTGTGTGCTCTCCTTTTCGCACGAAAGAAGAGGAAAAAAGGGGTCTCCCTAATCCTCGGAGCAAACAACACCACTTCAAGCGCTGCCATCTCTCGCCAGTGCGACGGAATCGGCGCCTGCTCCAGGGTCCCGAAGAGGAACAGGAAACTCTTGCAGAGCGCGTCGAAGCCCTGCATGCAGCCCTGCTTCTCCTTGGCACTCAACCAAGCCTAAGGCGTAAGTGGACTTACACTGCACTCAGCCAACCAACCCACCAACCAAGCAACCAATCAGCCAGCCAACCAGCCAACCAGCCAGCCAGCGAGCCAGCCGACCCACAAACCTCCAAGGTGGGTGGCCATCACTTGCCATGAGCTGTAAAGCTCCTGTTTTGTTCGGGAGTTTAAGTTAGTTAATAGCTTTATGCAGTGTGTAGACCACCCATTTCCCTTCGGGTTGCGGCTCCCTGCAAGGTAGTCAGCATAGGGTTGCTTCGGAGGAGTAAGCATGAGTAGTCAGCGGGCAAGGCGCCGGCTCCAAACAGTTGGTTAGCATCCCGAGGAAGTCGTAATATTCAGCAACAGGAACACACAAAGTGGGGGTACAGGGAGCCACAGGCGAGCGCAAACAGCGGGGATGCCCTTGCAAGCCTACAACTGCTCGGTCAAATCCAGCTGAATGCTCCGACATGGGAAGGTATGTGGCTTCCGCCTGGGTGGGCAACCTCCAATCACAAGGGGTATGTTGACGAATTGTTTATTGGGTTCACTTTAATTCCGCAATTGTTCAAACGAAACACTTGAGGGATCAAGGCCCGCAGCGTTTGGTCTTTGTTGGCAATGCTGTGTGTGTGTGTGTTCTTTCATCCAGCTTTTCTGGGCGGTTCATATTCCAAACGTGTGCGCGTGGTTGGGCGCGAGTCTGTGGCATCTGTGGTGATTTGTCCATTCTTCGACTGTAGGACGCAGGGCAAAGGCTACCTCAAACTTTCCAAACAGATCGACCGTTTCGCAAATCACTGATGATTTGAGAATGTCCCCGGCTGGCTCCATTCTGCCTGCCACCCAGTCACCAAGAAGTCATAGAGATCCGTGACCGCCTTGAAGTCAGGAACGATCGAACATCCGATTACTTCAAGCTTTCCTAGCGCAAGCTTGTGCTGCGCCCGGTGATTGCGAATTGCCAAGCGGACAACATTGCCTGGCTAAAGTGGCTGAAGTGCCCATGTTGTGTTGTTGAGGGTAGCTTTGTTTGGGTCAAATTAAAGCAGTAGCTACTCTCAATCAAACCCTGTTGTCTGGTTGACTTTCCTTCACCATAGGACATCTGCAATGTATGCTTGGTCGGCAGTTGTCCTGGGATAGTGCGGGATGAAGGCGGGTCAGTCCGGGTTGGTGTGTGTGTGTGTGGACATGAAGATTTGGTTGTTTACTAATGCAGGTGTGTACGTGAACTATGAAGACACCTGCGGATATGACCTGATGGCTCGTCAACCCCAAACAACTCCCTTTGCCTCGAGTTTCCTACCCGCCACAGTCAAATGGTCTACTGGTCTGATGGACTGATAGCTTCAAGTCTGATGGACTGATAGCTTCAAGTCCGAAATCACATCCGCAGCCTCCTAACGCGCAACACCGTGCAGTTTTCCAGGCGAACAGTGCCACGCCTGCAGCGAGTGCAGCTGACCTGGACGTCCCGTGCCGGACTGTGTGAGCTCCTCAAGGGGGCCGGGGGGTGGGGACGATGGTACCTAGCGTCCATTTTGCTGAGTTCGAAAGTTGCAACAGAAACACCCTTAGTGTCCACCGTGCAACTGAGGGGTACTGTTTTGTAAAAAGCTGGACTTCAGTGGGGTGAGTTGGCAAGTATAGCCTTTGGGCCATTAGGCATTTGTTGCGGCTTGCAACACGGCCACTACATGTAAGCAACAAACCGACCACAGCCGGAAGCTCAAAGCACCAAACTCAAAACAAGACAAACACGGATGTCCACAGACTCCTTTTAGAAAACACAATTCTTCTTGGAAAGGCAGCCTGTGCACTTCCATGTTTGTTGAACTGTTGGTGAGAGAATTAAACGACAACCATCGCACAAGCACAGGTATGGACAACAAGTGTTCCGGAATGTGCCGAGGTTGGGGATGGGGATTAGTTTTCAAAGGGAGCCAAACGCATAACAGCCACTGGCGCAGGTCCATGTTTCAGGGAGGTTGCGGGGGGCTTGTTGACTGATTGATCCATTTTGGGGGGCTCGAGAGGAACCTCACACTCACTCAGGGTTGAAGCCATCAATGACATCAACAGAGTCCCAAAAGCATGCCAAGAAAAAGCTCCGTCCCCATCCGTCCTGTATGAGCTGCTGCGCAGCTGCCTGCCAATGAGTGCTATGCCGTCAAAGGCGTTTAGTAGGATGCCATAGTTTCTTAAGCAACGGGGCATGGCAAATTACTTGCCCTTCCTGGTGTCCTATGCGCAATATTCTAGCTGCGAAAAAAAAGAAGAGGCACACACCTCGGTTTTGGCGGCGTTCGAAAGAGCTGCACAGCCAGAAAGGGCACTGTGACATGGGCATATATCTTAAGGCAAAGGCAAATGTTGACCTCCGATTCACCTACCTTGTGAATTCATTCGGCTTCTCCAGAATTGGATGCCCTCTAACATGGGCATATCACACTGGTTGAACTGGTTGTAAAACAGTGTACAGTTCCAAAAACGCACACCCGTAGAGTTGCACATCGTATACCCTGAATACAAAGCAACGACTCAAACCCGCTTTGTTTTTACCTCCCAAAGTCTTCAGTGACCAAATTGAATGAAACCTCCTGAACCCACCTTCCACAATCTCGAGCAACAAAACAATGGGAGGGGCATGGTTTGCTCACCCTGCAACGGATGTCAAGTGACTCCATTGGTCCATTGAGCTTCTTGAACAGTGTCGATAGTTGGGCAAGTTGGACCGGACCTTGCATCATTTGGAGTTGTATGGTTTAATGTTTTAGAAGATTGATGCTGTCTCACACATCCGACATTGCATGTTTCAGAACAACAGAAGAGCCACTGCTTGCAAATCCTTCGTTGTTAGACACAACATCAGCATTCCTTGGGCCCAGACTAAAACGATGAATGGATTTGCCGAAGCAAGTCTGAAGTTGATGAAGATCCTGCCGAACAAAAACATGGTGAATCAAGAAACCTGGCAGCAAGAAAAATAAAACAACCAGTGCACTGCAGTCACCCGAGCCTTGAGCTGGTGCCACCTGGGAGGGGCAACCTCGGAGAAGTTCGTGAGCTCACCCTCGGCCACGGCCTGCTTTGAAGGCCAAGCGGAGAGGGGCGTTCAGCTTCCGTCCAATTGGTGGTTTGGAGCCCGGTGGTTTAGTGGTTAGGGGTGGTTGCCTTTTTACCCTTTACAAGAACTAGGGCTTCAAATCCCCGAAACACCAATCCGAGGAAATGTAACTTCTGGGTTCACCCGCCGCTAAGGTGATACGAATCACGGGCCCAGACCACGGCCACAAAGGACTTCTTCCCAAGCCCTCGCTTGTAGTAGGAACCCTGGGGTGATTCTGAAACAGAACCCACATAAAACCAAACCTGATTTCGACACATCCCTAAACTTCGCAAGCAGCACATACACCAAAGAGCAGTGAGCATTCAACCCCCAACACTCGAACCTTGACCATGAGCGGCAAATCCAAGCGGAAGAGCAGCTGCACATCCGACTCCTGGCGACTCTCAGTTGACTGGCGCGAAGCGGCGCGCACCAAAGTCGTGGATACTTACTTTGCAAAGACGTGTGACGGCTTTGCTGGTTGGCGCCTCCTCCCAGAAAAGCACAGGTGCCTCTGTAAAGCATGGGCGCTTCGGGAGGGGGGCCCAACAGTTTGGGTGCACCAAGTACGGTCTCCATCAGTTGTTGCTCTCTTTGGTTTCCCCTTGGGTGTCCTCAGGTGGCGCATCCAAACAAACGCTAGAGTTTGTAGGCGTCGCCCCCCAAAAGTCGTCATCAGCGATGCCGGCAAGCCTGAAGCCGAGTAACCCTTTTCGGTGTGGAGCCATGCCTAAAAGGGGCGTAGAAGGAACCCTGCTACCACGTTTCAAGAGAATGTCATCTCAACTGCAGATTTATCAAGAGAGCCATGGCTTCTCTTTGATTTCCAAGCCAAAACAAGGTACTCTCAAAAACACACACACACACACACACAAACAAACAAACAAACAAACAAACAAACAAACACACACACAAACACACACAAACACACACAAACACACACACACACACACACAGACACACACACACACACACACACACACACACACACACACACACACACACACACACACACACACACACACACACACACACACACACACACACACACACACAAACACACACACACACACACACACACACACACACACACACACACACACACACACACACACACACACACACACACACACACACACACACACACACACACACACACACACACACACACACACACACACACACACACACACACACACACACACACACACACACACACACACACACACACACACACACACACACACACACACACACACAAACACACACACACACACACACACACACACACACACACACACACACACACACACACACACACACACACACACACACACACACACACACACACACACACACACACACACACACACACACACACACACACACACACACACACACACACACACACACACACACACACACACACACACACACACACACACACACACACACACACACACACACACACACACACACACACACACACACACACACACACACACACACACACACACACACACACACACACACACACACACACACACACACGCACACACACACACACCCTTGCGAGTCCCATGTGTAGGGCATCATCCTATAGCCAGGTGAGCAACCAACAATATTACCAGGGTGCAGGGTTGAGCGGTCCCATATCAATGCTGCAGGTCAATGGTACCAGTCTAAGTAGGGTACGTAGTCCCCTACTAGCTTATGTTGGCAATAGTGTCGGCCGGGTCACAATCAAAGCCCAGTATTAAAGTACCCCATCCATGCAAGGAATCCAAAGAACGTGCGCACCTGTTTGCGGCTGACCCAGCTCATATGGGAGTTTCTCAAAATGGACCCTACTTGGTTGGGTTTGGCTTATGGAGACCAAAAGGATACCAACCATTTGTCGGACCCGCGCCTCAAGCGCCTTCTCCAAGGCACTTGACCACAGCGAGCGGGGGCTGAGGTTCTCCTGGCGCAGCTGAAACGCAGAAATGACAGGCCCCCACCTTTGAAACGCTTGAACGCTGGAATGAACAATGAAAAGCCAAAGCATCCATTCAGGCTAGTTGGTTTTCTGAACATGGAATCTTTTGAACCCCCCACCTTTGAAACTCGCTTGAAACCCTTTCTCATGAAGATAGAATCAACATGATAAGCCAAAGGATCCTTTCGCCGGCGAGTTGGTTTTTGGGCCAGTGATCACCTCCGATACGGCCCATCCCTGATACATACAGGCTCCTAATCCCGTTTTGGCACGACAGCAGCACCATGTTTGCAGCACAGATCAAACCCAAAGACTCATGGCAATAAATGACCGAGTTGCCCAGGCTCCATTGGGCAAGAAGAAGAGCAAACAGGCATGAACATCCTGATGCCACTTACTCGCAACCACAAAAATGGGGACACCATGTTTTCTGCTCCACAGGGAGTCATTTGGAGACACCTCTGGCCAGTGCGGATGTATTCTTTTGATAGCCATGAGCCATGGGCAGCTGGAGGACCTGACTGCTGCAAGGTCCAACTCCTTTAACTCGAGGGAAGGAGCTTTCAGATTGTCTCATGGACACCAGTGTACCTAGCCACAAAAGCGAACCCCTTCAAGGCTTCGGTCCAGCCTGGACGGCAAGCTCTGGTGCAATCTCCTCTTGGACTCCGTGGGGACTGATGCCTCGCATAGCGCGGACAAGGAAGCAATTTCAATAATGGGTATACCATTGTTTCCATTGAGCGATTCCAAGTCAATGCTCGATTTGCCGCCCGAGGTGCCTCAAACAAGCCTGTCCGATGGTGGGTTCACCATTTGTACGATTGAGCATCCTTGATGGAAAAAACTGCACATTGCTCATTATCAACAAGTCATCCCAATAGGAGGTTGCCTCCAAACCCTGGTCTGAACCCTCGCGATGCGCTGAGGAAACAATCCCATGGGTCAAAACGAGTATCGACACGACACGCGGCCGGAAGCTATCCAGCCAGCCAGATAGGCAGCCAGTAAGCAAATGCGCCAAAAAGCAAAAAGCAAACAAACAGCAAGAAAACCAGCAAGCAAGCAAGCAAGCAAGCAGGCAGGCAGGCAAGCAGGCAGGCAAGAAACTTCAGCCCCTGGTTGAAAACGCGCTGTTACCATTATCACCTGCTACTATCATCCATCATCACCATTTCTTTCAAACCAACACAGAAAATGCATTCTCTCTCTGAGGCCAGCAACACAAACTAAGATATGCTGAAATTTCACTGATGCTACCAGGCCATGGTCCCGTGCCGTCTGAAATCCATGCCCGAGGTGCGGGAAGGAGATCTCGATTCCATCTCTCCGTCTTGCATCTGTCCTCCTGTCGGCTTCACAAGCTTTTTCAAGCCTCTTGACCCTCCCAACCTGACTGGGGCCGAGGTCTGGAAGGCTAGGTCTCCTGGTTGGCGAGTGTTGAGTCTAATCAACATGGACATCTGTTCTGCATTCGATCATGTCTCCGGAAAACAGAACAAGCCACTGCCAGCAACCATTGATACGGGGCCCAAAAAAGGAGGACCCCACTTTTGGGTGGTTAAAGGGAAACCAAGGGGAAACCAGTATCAGCCAGTTCCTCAGTCGCAACAACTGGCGAAAGTGTGTTCAAAGCGGGTTTGGACACTACAGACTTTCGCGGGGTCGACCTTCAACAAGGCATGCGTTGTTTGTTTTGTTTGCGATTGACACGCAACCTTCAGAGCTTCAGGGTCGACACCCACAAAAACGGGTTGTTTGTTGTTTCAGTTGTCTCGCGGATTGTGCGTGCCATGTCTAGTTTAGTTTTTGTTGATTGGAACTTCCACCGACCAGACTCGCCGGCTTCCCATGCAAACTAAGTTCTTTCAAGGGTCCCCAGTTAAGATTTACCCAAATCATCTGGCAAGGCTTGAAACGGGTCACAGCATCCTGACTATGGCCGAGCAGCTCAAAGATTCTTCTTGTGGCCCCTGACGAAAAGTGCGTCAAAGCTTGCAATCCAACGGGTTGAAACCTGTTCACAACTGCGTATCAGAACTGTAAACCCCAGTCAGGTACTTGCAGTGTAGTTTCGTGCTTGAAACATCTCGAAAGGCGGCACAGAAAAGTTTCACCTCCGGACATTTTGGTGCATTTCTCCTGTGGCTGCTAATAAATTATGTGGCTCATGCCACCCATGCACTGTTCAACTTCGAGTCCTGGGTTGGAGATGAGGTCCTGGTCAGTGCTGTCGCTATCGTAGGAGGGGAGTCGCACCCTGGCCAGCAAAATCATGCAGCCCTTGTTTCGGGGAATCCTTTTTCGGCCTCAGCTTTTGCCTCCAAGTGAAGATCGTGTTTGCAGATTCTGGTCCATGTCTGCACCTTGAAATAAACAACAACATCAACATATAATTCCCAGTTTGTATCAGTTGGCACTCAATGTCACGAAAACGGGTCAAACAAGCTGCCCCCTGACTTGTACAGCAAGTCCCCCCTAGCATGATCTAGCTATGCGGAAACAAAACCGCCCAAGAGTAAAATCAGAGTGTGGCCACGACTCGGTCTTGCTGGACTAGCATGTACAAACGCAGCGGACTTTGAGTCTGTCTTGGGCTCAACGACTCCGGATGAAACGTGTGTTTTCAAGAGGGGTTACACTACGCACAAACCACTTCCTCTGAGTAAAAGGATGGGATGGAACAACTCACCAAACTTACCAAAACTACTTCTCCCGGGGGAAGTGGTTTGGGGGCAACGGATTTTTTGTTGAACGTAGCACATGAGACATGCTGGTGGCCCTTCCTTGAGACCCTCCTTTGAGCTTGGCGAAGCAAAAGGTCAAAGAAGATCTTGGCGTCGAGAAGATCAAAAGTTCAGATTTATTTCATCCAAGTGAACGCAATCCGGTGTCACGAGTACCCCGCATCACTGGCTTCCTTGACACCATTGTGCTTGAGGCTTTGGGGCTCACCTTGTAAAGCAGACGACACACTTCACAATCCCGACCACAGTGGTGTTCTTAACATCAACGAGATGTCTATGTGCATTTGGGAGTCACCTGTGGACTACCTAAGATATGGTTGCTTTCCAATTCAGTTTGGGTTCCCTTTCAAATCATCACAAACCGGGTTTTGGGACACATCCAGGGTGGAAACTGTGCCACCCCTTTGGGGGCCGGCAACACAACACCTGCACTTCAGTTGCCATAGCACCAGTTGTTCGACCTGAGCATCTCCTGCCTGGAGCTAGTCTTTGAAAACTGCTTCGGAGACATCCTAGGGAACGCCCGAAATGGCTGGTGCCCTGTCGGTTTCCAAAGAGGTGGCAAAAGAGGTGCCCTGAACACGGCACACACAGGTGGTAAAACATTGAAAGCGACAGGAAAGTTGTAGCTGCCTGTTTGCCCTGAACGTAGCAACTTCAAGCTGGTTGAGGGCTAACAAACATGTCAACCTGTGAGAATTGGCCTCGAAAGGAAAGCCATGGCAGTTTCATCTAGAAGGATGTTTGACACTATACCACATGTATCGGCTACACATGTTGGCAACTCGAGAGATGAAGAGGATTTATGCCCTCCAATTTCCGTGAGGTGTTCAAACCATGGTGTTGAACCATTACAAAATGGGTGTTCTGATGGACTATCTGACAAGCTGAAGATGTTCAATGTGCCAAGCCTGGCTTGCACTTCAAACCCTATGAGTTGACCAAGGCCATCAAGTCTTCTTCGGGTTGGACTCAGGACCTGCCCCTTGAAGAGGTTTCTAAACTCTGAACGAGTCCCTGAAAAAAGCCTCCAAAACAACAATCATGTTGAAACGGCAAACCCTCGTTGAGCAATGTCTAGAAACGCTCGGTTTGTGGTTCGCTTAAGATGGGTTGCAAAGGCTCGTGTACCCCTCAAGCAGGGAATGGAATGCCATTTGTGGTGCCCATATGCAGCCCCAACATATGCGAATCGAGACAACTTCCAAACACAGATTGGTCTTTCTCTGAGAATACGGTGCTTGGTTTGGTGAAAGTTGCAATCTGACGGAAAACACAACCCAAAGATCAGGACCCTTTGTGTTGGTCACCAACCCCCTTGCCGCAGGCGTCTGAGGCAAGGGGGGCAGCGTTCCAGGCGGACCTGCGCTAGAGCAGGTAAAGAATGTCAAAGGACATTTGCAGGAACCCGATGCCACCAGATAGCCGGAGCTTGCAAGAATGGGAAGCTGCGGCTCCCAAAAGTAAAGGATCACTTAAATCGGACAGCCAATGAACCAAGGGACTTATTGATCATGGGCTCCTATTTGGGTGGCCACCGGGCCAGGTCGGACTTTGACCAGGCTTTGCCAGCAAATTTGGAGGGCGGAGTAAAAACAAAACAAAGGTCCGCGCCATGTCCGCAATGTATTGCGGGCAATGTTAACGGGTCAAGAAGGTCGTGTCCCAGACTTTCAGGTCGATCTACAGATGTAGCATTCTTGCTTTCGATGACTCGCGCCATCTTGCCTGGTGGTTTCCTACCATAAAACCAACAATCTCTTCCCCACTGATCTAATTCTGGGAAATGGAGAAGTGGGAGATGGAGAATGCAGAAAGGAATGGATTGGTCGCTGTCACATAGTAACTCTGGAACTGTAGAAGCGACCCAAATGCATTCCCACGCCATATCTTTATTGTTGGTTGGAAGCGTGGGTAAGAGATAATGAATGCGGGAAGGAAGGGAATTGCCGGCGACAAAGCAAGCATGACAAGGTCACTTTTCAGGATCTCCAAAACCTTCCGCGCGGCTTCCGCCCATACCTACCGTGAGACTCGACTGCTTCAACATGCTGCGTGCTTGCGCTCGCATGCGTTGATGATTCGCACGCCTCTCGTGGCTTCCGCGAAGCTTTCACGAAAGTCCCGCGTAGTCTTGGCAAGGCTGCCTTTGCACAATGATGCAATCTTCTTTCTCTTCTACTCCGGCCAGTGAGGTCGGCATTGGCCCAGCCTCACCCTTGAAATTGTATTTCTCCAAGATTGGTCTTCTTAGTCCTTCCGCAAAAAGAACTGCTTAACACCTTCCGCGGGCTTCCGCGCAGGGGGCTCTGGGACACTTCTTTTCAGAAGGATGTTGGCTCCTTGACTCATCTTGCCCCCGCGAATTGGCTGCTCACCTTTCAAGGGCTGGTTTTCCTTTTCATGGGCAACTCCCATGTTTCAAGCGACACCCCCGCAAATCACAAATCCCCGCCCAGGCCCCCAGGCTTCTACCCAGGCCCTCCCCCCCCCCCCCCCGCTAAGTCCCCCGAGGCCGCGCCTTTGGAGGCGCCTTTGGAGCGTCGCAGCGTGGGCTCCGAGGCGGAATGCCAGAGGCTCGCCTCCGTCCCCGAGGTGCGCTGCAGCTGCCTCCTGTTCCACCCAACCAACCACAACCAGTGACGTACTGTGGATGGACGGAATCCATTTCGCACCACCGAAGAAACCCTGGAATGATGGTTTCCCCTGTAAGTGCCAACAAACTATGGGTTCCCATGGTTCAAAGCGGTGGATTTCGTCCATCCACAGTAGGTGGACAACGAAGAGAAAAACCTTGGACCAAGCTACCCTTACACAACAGGAAAGTGGGAATATGTGTGTGTGTGTGTGTGTGTGTGTGCGTGCGTGCGTGCGTGCGTGCGTGCGTGCGTGCGTGCGTGCGTGCGTGCGTGCGTGCGTGCGTGCGTGCGTGCGTGCGTGCGTGCGTGCGTGCGTGCGTGCGTGCGTGCGTGCGTGCGTGCGTGCGTGCGTGCGTGCGTGCGTGGATGTGTGTGTGTGTGTGTGTGTGTGTGTGTGTGTGTGTGTGTGTGTGTGTGTGTGTGTGTGTGTGTGTGTGTGTGTGTGTGTGTGTGTGTGTGTGTGTGTGTGTGTGTGTGAGTGTGTGTGTGTG